TTAAGAAGGACTTATAAACATAGATTTGAATAAAGAAATTATCCTAATGGCGCCTTGCTGGGAGTCATTACTAGCTTGTTATAATATAGGTCTTGCACCTAAGTCTAATGACATGTAACGCTTTGCATATTATTAGGCTGGTGACGTTAATTTTGCTGACGAGGTTAGTAAATCCTGGTATCGTGTCAATTATATTAGGTCAAATGAGAATCTTATATGCTTAATTACAAAAGTAAGTTTACGTTAAATTTAATCATTACATCCGTACTTGTTCTTTAAAACACGCTCGACAGATCAAACGGGTGGAAAATATTTCGTCAACGATAATTAAGAGCCTTTCAGGCTACTAGAGATCGAGAAGAGAGAAGGCAATAATATAGATCCACGAAGAGTCAAAGAAAAGCTACGAGATATCGACGACTATCAACGTGCAGGCCCTATCTTGCTGGTGTAACGCTATGGTAAACATTGTTTCGTGAATATCTATATGTTAATCCTATTAAGTGTGGCCTATTTAATGTAAATTCTATTGCGGATGGTTAATAGGCTAATTTATGTTGGAGCTAACGGATCCTATATGGATAAATCCTCTACTAGAACTAAATTGATAAGTGTAATAAACTCGGATTTAAACAGGAATTTTTGATAATTTAAACAAAATTAACGCTGCTTAATTATTTATAAATCCATTGTGATTAGATTTTAAACAATTGAAGAGGTGTTCGTTAAGAAATTTTTATACCTTTTAACACTTTTTAAAAATATTTTTTACCCTAAATTCTTTAATTTAATGTTTTAAAGATAAAGTAGACTTTCAACGTAGATTGAATAAACAGGTCCGAATTGGAAAATAAAGATCTACATCATCCAAACATGTCACACTTTCCTCAACAAAAAAATTTCCCTAAATGCATTCTAATTTATTTCGTACAATCTGGAAAAGTTCTATAAATTAATTTGCATTTTATCCACTAAAAATAACTCGATTTCTACGTTTTAAAAGTAGTTCCTAGTATTTAAATAACGCATTATTTTTTCCTCTGGTGAATATTTCCTTTTTATGGTTATTTTATCAGTCGAGATGAGATACGCAATAAACATTTTTACCATTTCGACAATGGTATTTCCACTTATATAAACAGCTTCTTTCTTTTTTTTATACAGAAAAACATGCCTTAAAATATTTTATAACATAAAAACATAATAGTTAGTACATTAAAACTATTTTAGCATCACACTTTCCTGCGTTTTAATGAACTTTCAATAATGCATCCTTGCATGCGACTTTATTTTTAAAACATTTTATAGTGTAAATAGGTTTTTCTTGACATATATTTTTATTATAATGTTTTATAACGTCGGAAAATCTTGCAAGAACCTGGAAAGATACCGTATTCAATTGCCATACAATTTTTCTCTTTACCATTAGCGGTAAGCTTGGAGTAGCAATGACGTAGCGGAGCTTAATTAAGACGATTCCAGACAAGGGCGTTCGTGTAAAAATGCTATTCGATTATAATCAACGGCATTTATTAAAGAAGAGATGCCATAAATTTTAATCCGCAGAGAATAAAAGTGTCAGAAAATATCAGTCAAAAGTAAGAGAAGAGCATATAAAATGGCATCCGAAGACATCAGAAAATTCCAATGCAATCTATGGTCACATTGGATTCGCGTGTCATTGCGCAATAACTCCAACAGATCGATGTCTGAACGCTTAGCAATAAACTGTTATCGCTATAGTTATCTGGACGTTTCGCCGATATACTATAAGGTGCAATCGCATCAACAATGCGTTTTATGACAGAGAAAACTCGGTACGCCGTGTAATTGCGACGAAAATACTTATTCTTCTCTTAAAAGAAGACAATTTGACGGACAAAAGTTCGAGACTTTGATGACACGTTAACCTACGGTAACCGAGTCGCTAAATTACTGGCTTAGTCGGTGCGGTCGTGCCAGTGGATAGTGGCACACCGTAATTGACACATTGACACGCGGATTTAATTAACTAATTAGTGACGTGTTAATTGCTCTAATACACTAGATCGTCAGGTGATGGGCAATGCACAGGCCTCAGCCGATATTTTCTGGACAGGTGGAAAAGACAGGACACTTCAGCCAGGAGGAAGGTAGAGGTCAAGTGAATTTGCGAGAGCGAACACGAAACGGGAGGAATATCAGATTTATAAACGCTTAAATAGATCCGCCGCGAAATATTTTCCGATAGCAGAAATTCTGATAAACGTTTCGGGGCGACCTCGGGGTGAAGTCGGGGCTAATTCTGCAAAAGCATTACCGTTAATCGACTGGTTGCTGTGTCTTTTAAACGAAACGGACAGAAGTGATTGTATAAAAGGACGAAGGTGTATTTAAAAGGCAAAAGAAGTCAACGTCCAGCCAGATTAGCCTGGAGGTGATGTTATTACCACATCACACTTCCTGCTGGGTTTCCCACGTCCCTTGACAGTAATGTTCTGCGAAAAAAACCTGACCTACAGTCAACGTCGTCAGGTTAGCGTCCTTTCTGCCTGACATACTGGGTAAATATTTAACCTATAAATAACGATAAACCCAATAGCTTTTGCGCGCACGTCTAGTTCTGCTACCTCATTAGACAACCTGAATTGTCGTGAACACTCGCCGAATATATTCACGACTTTAAAAGCAAAGTGTGAGAACAAGAACTTCTAGGCGTTTCTTGCCATGACGTAAAAATTTAGATTCGATGAATACTGATTAGCCAACCGGCGAAAAACCGTTTTTGACTTGTCCAAACATAGCCCGAAGAAATCTCTCCACTAAAGGATAAGTAATAGTTTCTCCTTTGTTTATCTATTTATTTCTCATGCTCCACTTAGAGATTAACTTGCGTGGGACATTTTTCTTCTTCGTTAACGTACGATAAATAGCCAGGAAAAACAGAAAATATTCATTTCAATATATTTTAACACTCGACGATGTCTACCAAGAAGTAGATAAATTTGACAATGGGAGAGCCAAAGGCGTGATGGCTAGAGGAATGATTTACTAATTTAGTTCCGTTTAACCCGGTGGCATGACTCGGGTGTTTGCAAAGGCACAAATTACGTTTAATTAAACATTATCCACCTGACTATACGGATCAGGTTGAAGTAATGATTCATAAGCTCGATTATATTCATCAAAAATACCAAGCGTAGGGGTCAAAGACAATTTTATCGACTTATGGCGCTTCCGACGCTTTATTTTTATCGACTTCCCCGCGACTTAACTAATCAAATTTGAATGTATTGGTATGTTTTATTGTCGGCGCCGAAATTGCTGCTTTTCCGGGGAAAAATCGTCAATTAAATAGTTGTGGCGAATAAAAATAACTTTTTTTCTGTCTCATCGATTCGTTAGCTGCTGGTCATTATAAGTGCTCTATGTAAATGACGCCTATTGTCAATGGAGCTAAGCCGTCTCTATAGAAAGAAGTCGATTGTTCGGGAGGGAGATAACCGACAGACGTGATACATATTTATTGGTGAGACTAAAAAAAAGAAAAAACATTTATATTGGAAAGTGTCCCGGAACGAGATGTGCTCGGAATAGGCTATAGCGGTTGACTTAAAAGTGAAAGAAAAGGTAGCAGTCGCCTTCAATCCTGCGAGACGGTCCTTGTCTCATTTTCCGAAGTCGAGCAGTCGAGTCAATAAATCAAAATAAACCATGACAGGTACAAATTACATTTTTGGAGCTGACGACTTAATCGGACATTCCCACTCGTCGCAGTTCTTACTCAGGGCTTTCGTTTTGTCAAGAGTCTTCAGTCTCGGTTGTGACGTCGAGGTGAACAATGACTCGATCCTGTGACCCTTCACCTTCCACGGGAGCGGTGTACCCTACCCGGCGCGAGTACATTGGCCACGCAAGGTAAATTCCGAGATAATAAAAAAAAGAAAAAAGTAAGAAAGAGAGAAAAATATTCAAAGCATGCTTAGCTCCAGTACCAGATCATTAGGATCCAAATAAGATGGTTTCCAGATCGGACGAGATTACAGGTCGGAACGGACCGTGCCTTTTCCCTACTTTGTCTTATCTAACTAGTCAGGGACAGTAAGGAACGAGGTCATAGGTGAATAGTTAGCCCGCGAGATATCGTCACTCGGTCACGACGCTGTCGAACTAATGTAAACATTAACCTAGGTTCTATAAAATGTGGGCAGATCCCGTCACGCATTTTAGCTCTGCCGGACAAAAAATATATATGTGTAACGTTTATAAAATTGGTGGGATCGGACATAACATCGAATTCTCGCTTTACTTACAAATCTGGAGAATCGATTTCCTCCAGATTCGAAATAAAAAATAAAAAAATAAATAAAAATTCTTACTGCTGATGGTTATCTGCGGGAAATTAACCTTTGATCTTCTTGACTATCTACGCGTTCATATTTTTCACGATTAACATGTTCGTTCCCGGTTTTTTCGACAGTCACGGACTTACTAAGTCCACATCTCCACAATAGAATCGCGAAACGAACAATGACGACGAGAAAAACATTCGAAATTCCGTGTTATTTGGTACTATTAAGAGAAAGCACGTTTCCCTGCTGCCGTAGTAATAATTCACAATGTAATAATTCTGAATTTAAGGGAACGGGGGGAAGAATTAGCATTATGTTTCGAGATGAAGAGGCCAACTCGGTTTAACCCTTTAATGCAGGAAGAGAACATTGACATGGGCCACACGTGCAATAATAGCGAATGGAAGCCGAGCGAGAAGAACATTGTCAGCTCGACTGGGGGCACCCGCAGGTCTAGATTTTTGACATAACGAGGAAAAAGTTGGCTCCATCAGGTGTTTGCCTGACAGTGATGAGAGTACAAAGTGGCCTTCAAATTCCTAAAGAATCATCAAACTCAAACTCGATTACTCCAACATAAAATGCTTATTTTATAAGATTCGAGCTGAATTATCCATCGTTTGGGCGCAAATATTTAACACTATCTGAAAAACTCTTCACTTAACTTACCTGGCACTTCAATGAGTTTCTTGTACACAGCAAGGAAGGCTGCTTCTGCTGCTTTGCTTCGTTTCGATAAGTTGTCTACTTCAGCTTGGAAATTTTTGAGTATCGGCGCGACAATTTTTCTAACATCCTGCGGGAAAACAACAATAAAAAATATTGACAATCTGAACGGTGTTTTAACATCTCGACACACTCTGGATATTTAAAAAAAAGCAGAAAAAAGTTACAGATTCATGCAAAAAATTTTTCTGGCAATGAAATCAATTTAAGGAAACACAAAACCCGAGGATCAATAAACTTTAAAGAAAATTTAATCTAGAGGCCAAACATCCCCGGTTAATTCCATTGTTAGAGGAAATTCTAAAAGAGAAAAAAGAATCGAATCCGATTGGGTCTCACCTCTGGACGCGGACAATTAGAAGAACTGGTGTGGCGGCTCCGTAAAGTCGGTTCAATATGTGAGAGCAGAGGTCCGAAGTTCAAACCTGATCCGCCACATTAGCTTTACTAGCGACAAGCGATTCCAAGCGAACTTCCGCATTTAAAGCATTCATTTTACAGAGATGTTGCAATGGCAATTTACGATTGTTGCATTTTTCATTGACAAATAAAACCGATTCCCGGCACCGTTGTACTTAAATTACAAAAACGTTTGACACAGACTTAAGAAGGAGAAAATCAGAAGAGAAACAATTGATTGGTTATATATAACTTAAGAAAAAATAAAAATAAAATAAAAGCAAAATAAAAGCGACTATCGACACGTGTTCAATTCACTCGATTCGCGTATCTTTAGCATCTAGCACACAAAATACAGGTCTCTGTAGATGTCTTTAACAGATTTAGCCTGATTCCCAGACCGAGTTAATTAATCGAGATAACATAATGTCAATTTTGATCGTTTTTATCCTATTTTTATAAAGGGAAATTTCGCGCTCGTAGCCCGAGGACGTTTACTATTTTCTTAAAGGGTATTGACATTTTACAAACAAATGCGTTTTGTAATAAAGCGGATATCGAGTCCCAATTGTTATTAATTACAGACCTTGAGAACAAAAAATCTACTTATTACAAATCATTAACTATTAAAAATTAAAGATTTTAATGGTCTTAACAATAGATCAAAACACGTTTAATCCGAAGATTACAGACGTTTAATACAGATTTGAATCTGACGATAACTGATGCTGAAAGTTTTATATATGAGGAAATCGAGTAATCTTCGTAAGATTAAAATTGCATTATTTGAAAAAGAAAGTGAGATCAATGGAAAAAAGAATTAGAAATCTGATTAGCAGATTAACGATTCTTTATTTACAGAGTTAAACCAAATTCTTGCAAAGAATGAAAAGAGCAGCGAGCACACACACTCGCATTGATATTTATTACGCGGAAGATAATCGAAGAAGTGCTCTAACTAAATCTTACCCAGCTCAAGAAGAATTTCGAGAAAAAGTGAGAGAGAGAGAGAGACTCGGATTAAAAATTAAAATAATTTATTTAATTCAATAGTTTTCGTCTAAAATTGATTTCTTTATCGAAAAATTAATCAGGTATTCTTAAAATTTATATACTTAGAATAATCGATGCGAGATTTTTAATTAAAAACGACATAAATCGACGTGATGAAGATGCTAAAGCATAAGCCAACTTCAAGATGTCTACGCGGTCTCAAATAACATTTGTTTACAGTGGGGTTTATCATCATCATAAATTTAATATTTTTAATTTCGTACAAAACAAGAATTTTTTAAAAAAATACTCTTGAATACTTCTCTAATTAAACGGAACTTTTAACAGTTTCATTCAATTTTCGCAATTATTTTTAATAAAATATAAAATTCTCCCTTTCTCTCCTCTTCCAGCCGTAACAAGTAAGCACTATTGTCTTGACACTTTTCAAAAGCCATAATGGAAATGTTTTAAAACACAGTGTTAATAAAATTATAGTAAATATTTATCTCTTCGTTTATTTAAGAATATATCTAAACAAATTATACGAAGCAAAAGTTAAAAATGCTGCTTAATTATAAATATTTGTCTTGTTTTCGTGTAAACTTGTATACAAGTTCTGTAAATTGGCTCAATTTTTGATACAGGAAAAGAAAATTAATATTTGTATAAGGCTATGGAAATAATATAAATGTAATTATTAAAAGTTTAAGAAAATTTACAAGTCTTTTAAACGCCGTATTACATTGTCATTTAAAACTCCAGCCGACTTCTTGTCGAACTTCTGGATCCAATCAACATCCTTAAAGAATACGGCGATACAAAATTTTAAATTCTCTAAGCGAAAATCCAGATAGAAAAAAAATCTCCAACAAGCTACATTAAAAGTTAATTTTTAAACGTGCCTAAAAAGTTTTCACATTGAGAATTTACTTCCGAATCATTAAAAATTGACTAAAATTCATTTAATTACTGTACATAATTGCATTTTAATTTACAGTCAATATCCAAGGAGAAAAACTTGCTCTAAAATTCTTTCTTTAAAACCGCAAAAAAACTATAAGTTCTCCAGTTTTAAAACCGCTAAATTACGGTTTTAAATTGGAAGAATTATAGGATTTTTTCCCCTTTTTCTTCTTCTTCTTTTAATGAAACTAAGAACTGCCAATTATAATAAAATTCGAGTCGAGTTATACAGGAACTTGACATAAATTTAGAAAAAAAAGAAGAAAAAACTCTCGAAAAGTTACAGAAAGTGCAAGCAGCGATGTGTCACGAACACAAATCACATTCGCGACATAAATTCGTAGACGGATTCGCATCAGTCACGAGTCGCGAAAACATCACTCGCCTTAAGAGAAATATATATCATATTAGTGTCGTTTAGTATGCTAAAAATTTGGATATCCAAAAATATATATTTATTCTAAGGGCCTACTCTCTCTCGAACCTAAAATATTAATTGGAGCCTTGTACGAAGGGGGCAAAAATTAAATTTTGGCAGATCTCCAGATGATCTTACCTCTATCAATAGGACTGAAATAATCAAAACTGGAGGAGGGGTCCGTCACGTGATAACGTCCATGACGTCACCTCGGCAAGTAACGTTGCTAAGGCAACAAGAGGGAACGTTTCCTGACCCACATGAAGGATGGTAAATCATCAGTAAGTTTATAGCATGGTTATTTCCGTGCCGGCTCGGTTGGTCTTTCCCCCTCTCACTTCCTGTATTGGTTCAGATATCGAATCTGGAAAACGGTAAATGATGCTAACGACAGCAAACTAACCGGATTAACGATCGACGATCGAAAAAAGATAACAGAAACACGGTGCTAACCGGCGTGGTAGGAGAAAAAAAAAAAAAAAAAAAAAAAAAAAAAAAGTAGCTGCAAAATAAAACAGAGCTAACAGGGATCCTCCGATAAAATAGAAATTATACGAGACGATCATCAACATATTACAGTATTTTAACTGGTGACTCACTATATACACATGTATACAGTAATTGCAAAATCGTTAAACTTATCGATTCGATCATGTTTTAATTATAACTGATGAGAGAGGTACATAAGAAAACACAGGTTTGTCGAGAGTCGAATGACAGAAACGTTTCGAAAAAATCGTTTTTTAGGCAAAATATTTTGTAATATTTTGGAGAGAAATGTAAAAAATAAATAAATAAATAAATAAAAGTAGTGGTTTGGAAGCTTTTTCAATTAACTCGACGGGAGGAAAATGTTGCCAGGAACAAAGCGAATTTACGATATACCAAAGAGACAAATTGACTGGGATCCGGCAGAGAAAGGTAATAAATTGCAAAATAAACGATAGAACGACGCGGAACAAAAACAAATATTATAAATAGAGACTCTAATTAGAATTTCTGATATTATCGCCATCTTTTACGACGGGTATCGAACCTCTTTGCTGGAGAAAACAAAAGAAAACTCGCCCCGTGATCTCATCTAATATTTCCTGGTAGGTCTACGATACCGAACTCGCCAAGTTTATGGCGACCATCTAGCTGCAACTCTGTACGGCAGCGTACTCAATTGTATCTTATAATTACAGCTCCTTGATAGGCAATGAAATTTTATGATTGGTCATTACGTATTGACTCGACTACAAAGCGCCTTCTCTTCTTCCTGCCGTAAAACCGTCCGCACCACCACGGACCCTGTCCAGACATCATTAGGTGGCCGGGGACACAATAGGGCCCGGCTCGATCGATAACCTTTGCCCCCGCCGATCGTCTCCTCTCGGCAATTACAGTAGTGTCAGTGTTTGTGTGTAGATGCATGCACGAACCGACGGCGAAGCGAAACTAGTGGAATTCATGAATGTCAATTGTATGGCGTGGTGGGGACTTAATGGACACGACAGCCATGTAAATCAATAGGAAACTCCTGATAAATATTTAAACATCATACAGTGCCGCTACTTTCCTCGGGACGTCCGTACGAGATTTATGGATAATAGAGAAGGGAGACGAGGGGTACGGTAGAATACGGCCGTTGCAAAATAGCACACTTTGATCGTGTTGGACCTAATGGTCGGACGGACACCTGGACTGCTTAAGAGTTCTCTACCTTTAGTCTTCGGGCGACTCTGGTACATTTCAGACTCGTTTGGCATGTGTGTGCGCGCGCGCTACATTCCTATCTCCCCCCCTCTCGTTCGGGATTAAAATGCGAATTAAACAAGCTCTGAAAGAGCGTTTTGTCCGTTAACCATTAAACGAGAGACATACAAAAATCAAAGTGCTTCGCCTGAACAAAATCATTTGTTTTTTTTTTTTCCTGTTTCTTATTTTTGTCTGTTTATATAAAGTCGTAAAGCAGAACTAATTAGGCTCTACGTAAATCAATTTCGGACTTCTATCAAGTAAAAATCTGGTAGCAAAACCGCACCGATCTGTCATTATAACTTAGTCCTAGAACGTACCACGCGACTAATTCGATGCTTGGAAAGGAAGAGAAAAGCAAGGAGGTAGAAAAGCATCTATTGTAAAAGTAATTACGCCATAAAACACCAGACTTAAATGGATTGGTCGAGTTATTATTTAACATTTTATAAATACGGAATTGAAAAAGAAAAAGGAAAAAAAATCTTAGAAGCTTTGGCTTTTTAATCAGTAGAAAAGACGACAGTAATTCACCTAGACTTTATTATGCCAGGGTTCATAATTAAGGAAACAGTAAGATCAACTCAACAATCAGGACACAGGATGTGTCGAGAGACGGGACCAAAGACGAAAGAGGGAAAAAAAAGTAACAGCTTTGGCGCATACAACAACATCCTCGCTAATTCAGACTCGTCTTGCCCCTCTTCTTGTTCTTTCTTTTTTTTTCTATTCTAGTACTTGCTCAGCCGTCTCAACCCAACCTCGTCTCTAGTGGCGTCAATTTTCTTTCCAACAGCCTTACCATCGATGTGCAAGCAAGTAATGACAGATTACCCACACAGTGCTTGCCGTCTCTGGCAATTACCACTAATCTTCTCATCCTGTCCATCTCACACGTTTGGGGATGAGGGGGACGGAGGAGCAGTTTTAATAATGGACGTAATTTCGGATGATTGCACAGTCACTACCCCGACCGTCTTGTCTTCAGCCGTTTTCTCTATAATGAAGCTATACGACGTTTTCAACTTAATTGTTAAAATACCGATCAATAGAACAACGTGGGTTCGACCCGTACAAGACGAACGTAAGATGGCCGACGTCTAGAGTGAGTTAAGATTGCCAATTGATACCGGGATAATATTCTTAACTATCCATTACAATGTACAAGGATTTTTGCACTGATTAAGAAAAATCCGGTTAAGCGTTCTTTATATTTAAAAACAGATGAATATGCACAGATGCTGGAACTGAATTTAATTAGTTAACCCGTCCCCATCCGTCACAAAAAAAATGACTACAAAATTTAATGTAAAGGTACCCAGAAAGGGAAAGGCTATTGAAAATCATTCGTTCCGTTCGTTTGTGCATTGCATCGTTCTGTTCAAACGGTTAATAATTAATTAATTCTAATTTACGTATTAGCATGGATAATGTAATCTAATTTCCTATTATTTCACAAATCGGACGTTTACCTGTTTGAACGAGGCAGAAAATACAAGAAACGACAAAACCGCACGCAAAAATAACGGGATTAATAACTTACCAGTCCACCAAGTAGCAATTTTATTAACAATAAAGTCATTTTTGCCCATTTTTTATGCATGGACGACAAATCATTGTTTTTTTAGATGGTTGAACGGGCCCTAATTCTGCTGTGACACGAAACAATTACTAGAATTCCCATAATTGTTAAAACAAACCTGATAATCCGATACATATGAATGATAAACGCGATGCATGCTTGACTTATAAAGAACTTACCTGTCGTACTTAAGTGAACGAAGCGAGAGAAAGAAAAGTGAATTTGTTGGAATTTTTCTACAATTGATTATTCTAGAAATAAATTTATTTTTAATTATTTTTCCCCCTCTAAATACGGCATTTTCTTTTTTGAATCGAATTCCTTTAAAAATATTTTATTTTCGTTTTATTGTTGATTATCTTTGATTATCTTTCGCATCTGCGTGCGCTTTATAATCGATACACTAACGTTCCTTGTTTTTTACATCTTTTTTTTTGTTGAAAATTTGGACGAAATCGTCGCTTATAGTAAATTTTATTATGAGTCACGTGCCTGTGAATATTTTCGAAAATAAATCAAAAAGATTGTAGTAGTTTTTATTTTAAAGACTGTTGGGGATAACGCTTATTCGTTCCACATATTATGCTAATGTAAATATCATAAAACTGGAGGTCCGGAGGGGGTTACGATACTTTAGCTATGGCCCTGACCGTCAGTAGCGGAAACAAATGAAAAGCAGACGTTGTTGACAGAATCGATCTTTTTTTTAAGTAGTTATAGAAGACAATTAAAGACGCACGACCGATGCTTCAGGTAAGTTATTGACAAACCTCATACTGGGCAAAGAGTATATTAAAAGGAAGAGGAAGAGGTGGCGGCGGTCAGGTGAGGCACCACAGGAAGCTGGCTGGTATATCCGGTGTTACAAGCCGTATTTTGGTGAAATGCCTACCTTATCTCGTCAATCCTCCCTCTTTCATCTCCGACTATATTACAGCAACATCATTCTTCCTTCTCCTCCTAAACTGATCCATAAATGTAATGGACAATGACGGACCGGAGAAAGTCCCCTTTTGTACAGAAATATGGCCTCATCAATATAAACAGTGCAGGGGAAAATGTTATTAGGATGTGATAGGATCGCTGAATCTTAGGACCGAACCCACCACCAAGCTATAACCATAAATCCCCTTCCGAATGACTAAAGGGAAACTGCCTATCGACAGATCGTCGATTTCTTTACTTGGTAATGATAAGAAACTGTAAGCCCGATCACCAAGCGTCCCATCTGTGGATGGCATTTTGTCGCTTTTATGAGCTGTCGAAGTGAGAGTCGAAGAAAGGAAGAGAAGGGGAGGAGGGAAGAGGCAAAAAAAGCAAGCGTATTCTAAAGAATCGAGAAAAATGATGAACTGGATAGTGCCACATCCGAGTGCATTGGTAAATATTACAGTACATTGTCTCGGAGAATCTATATTGTGAACGAGTGTTTTAAAAAACCATCATATTTTATCTATTCCTGTTTCGAATCACGTGACCGAGTAAGCTTTCATTGTAACCTATCTTTCGACCCGTCCTGGGCGCCAGCGTTTTTAATTTCCAACAGTGAGAAAAATTAATAAAACTATCCAACAATGACGGAAGTTTCGTCGACAACAATAAAGGAATTTCCTGAACGACTTTTGTTTCAACGCGACTGGGTGTCCTTTTTTTTACCTTCTGACTTAATACCCTCCCCTCGACCAGTTCCGTATTTCCGGTGGCGAGAAAACAATAGACTCGACCCATCAACGATTACTGAGCATTCAGAAAAGTGTGAAAAATCTCTCTCCACCCCCAATCCCCTTTAAAGCGCTTGGTAATGGCGACACGTGATCTAAAAAGAATGGTCAATGTATATAGAGTAGGGGAAGAGGGGAAGAACGAATGCAAAACTTACGAATATTAACCACATCACAGACCACTGATTCCATTATCCTTCGGCAGAAGCGATTCCGTTATGATGGGGCACAGAAATGTGGTAATTGTTACACGTTGGTAATTAACTGTTTTTCTAGTAGAAGGCATTCGCCACCAAACACCAACTGGGGGTATGGATATAAACAAAAGATCAACTCCCCACAAGAGGAAGAGGCAATGAATAAGAGCGCGTCATCATTTTGCCACTCGATGCGTACGTAGCCAAAAACATTCCAGACCATTCCACATCCCCCTCCTATTATTTCCATGTCGTTGGTTCTCTATGATGTCGAAAACCCAGAAAAGAAACTGGAGACCGACTGTCCACTTTTCAAACTGATTGCTGTTTATTACACATGCATATAAAATTCTAAATGAAATGACCACAAGAGCAACGACACAGCAAAGTGGCAAGAAATTATTTCATATCACACTCACCTCTGGCGTGTTCCTCTTGAAGTCGCGGCTTAGGTCGACCAGACGTTTTCGCGAAGTGTCGCTCTCATCTTGTCTGTTGGCTAGTTCTGTGGCAGTGACGTCGAGTTCTTTCTGTCAATAAACGATAACAAAATTAACGTGACACAACTTGGAATCATTTTTTTTAAATCAAGAAATAAAATATACTAGTGTATGACGCGCGGAAAATAATTCATTTCATTAAAATTCAAACGGTAGGCGATAAATACACGAAGAAATCTGCGCCGTTTTATCGAATTTTTAGAATTATCGAAGTTAAACCCGACTATTTACTAAATCTGATCGATAAGAGACGTGTTATAAAGGAGCGACGCGAATAAAATCGTTGATCTTATGTTTACCTATCAAGAAAAAAATTTTTGACTGGTAATCCGCGCTAACAGTCATCGATTAATAGGGTAATCTCATTAACTAAAGTTTTACAGAATTTTTAAATGAATAGGCGAGTGGGCTAACGGTTGGTGCATTCGCTTACGTCAGGGTATAAAACATTTATGTAACTACGCATACGGGTTATTTATTCAGAGACAAACGGATCGTGGAGAGAAATCTGGTAGAAGGGAACGAGTGCCATTTGATCCCGACAAAAAAAAGGGAGGAAAAAACCTCCAAACAAACTATTGCACAAAGGAAGTGGGTGTCGGGAGATGGCACGCGCGAAGGACAAGACGGGTGGAAGACCAAGAAAAAGAAATGATGGCTCCAATCTATCAGTATTATGGGACAGGCGACGACTCCTCCCCGCGCGCAATCGAGAATTAAAGGGCACGAGTGTAAACTCCTCCTCTTCATCTAAGTTAAAAGTGGCGGTAAAGCAAACGGACGAGTAGTTCGGGTGGTCAGGACAGGATTTAAAAAAAAAAAAAAAAAATGGAGAGAGAGAGGGAGAGAGAGGGAGAGAAAGAGAGAGAGAGAGGGAACTAGTAATAATTAAGCTTAAAGGCGCTTTCCTCTTTCGGCACAGTCTGTCGCGAGTTGGTGGGAAAAGCCCGTTTTCCCGGCAGATGTCGATGATGGACAAAGTAATGGACGGACCCGGAGCAGAATTAGGAGCTTTTTAAAAGTCTTTCCCGTCCGTTTGCGTTGGCTGACTAACGGAACGCATCGTTTAGTATATCAAGGTAAAGTCAGTTCCGAACGAGTGGAGAATGCAGGAGAGCGCGTAGCTACCTCTGCTCAGACACGGTCACGTGCCGACACCATTCATTTCTTTAGCGTCCGGGGAGATGGGGAAAGCCGTCTCTTCCCTCCCATCCTCGTCCAGGTAATTACACCGACACCCCGGTTACTATCAATATTAAATGGGCGACGATACGGGGCAGGTTAGATGGGCGGAGAAAATGTCAGCCGACGTCTTTGTCACACAAACAGCCAGGCAGCGGCGGCGTCCGATTCCGGAACCGAAATTTCGATCGACCCAAACTATCGCATCCGACCAGGGAAATTAAATTACAAAGCGCTAAGTGAAATCTATGGCTGTTATTTTAGCCCCAGCGCCACTGACCGCCCGGAATGACAATCGAGTGGATCTCTCAATGCAGATCGTCTACCGGAACTAAATCTCCCATGTTACCAACTCTGTTGTTTAGAAAATGCCCGTTTCTTTCTATTAACCAAGGAAAGAAACAATTTGTTGTGGTCTGTTTCAGCAGACGGAACTCTTTGATCAGACGTTGAACCCGATGCAGGACTAGACTGCGAGAACACAAACCACCCGCAGTGAACTCCCCAGCAACGGTCAGATTCTTCGTATCGTCTAGAAACTAAATATCCGAGAAGGCATCGCACTTAATTAATGACGAGTTTTATAAATAATTATCGACGAGATGAAATAATGCCCGGGAACCAACACCCGCGAGTTTGCAGCAACTCTTCTCTACCCCGTGGCAACAAATATCTAAAGGGAAATCCCGCATTTGTATGCCAGTATTTATTTTCTTTTTTTCCTATCGTATATTTGCTAAATTATATCCTGTTTAACTCACGATTTTTAAAAAAATTGTTGTCTGCAAACCGGATTACGATTTTACCCATTCAATTAATGTCCTTTTATGTATTTACCGACGGTTCTCGGAACCTTCTGCAAAATACCAAAACAGTTGAGGACGTCGAAAACGTCCCGTTTTAGGAAGATGCGCTGGAGCATAAAACGAGCGATTTGATGAATCGGACGCTCAAATAATAGCATGGCCGATGTATTCGTCGATAAGGAATTTTGCCATTCGGAACTTTTGGGAAAACCAGTTTGCGGAATAAAGTATAAAAAAATGATAAAAAAAAAAGAAATGAGCATGCGGGAATCGTGTTCGATAATTGATTAATCGAATAAAAGTAGAAAATCCGAGCCATTCTAGTGTAAACTTATCCGGTTTCTCCGCTTTTTTCGTCTCTTTTCTCCGGGCGGATCATCACCGGTTTAAACTCGTCCGGCGATACTTAAATGAGCAAAAATGTAACAGCCAGCACAGTTGTCCATTATATGAAAACTAGCGAAAGGACGAAACAAATTTACATCCTCTTTCGCTCTCTCTCTCCATTCTCTCTCTCGGCACTTGTATACTAGTGGCTGAAAAATGGCGCCTGGCAGCTATTTGGTTGCGTTCCGATTCATTTACATACTGATTTGTCTGCACCAGATCTGGGGCCATTGGTTGAAGACGATACGCCATTTATCACTGTCAAACACCGTCTCTACATTGTTATTAATATCTGCATTTTGCATCGGAATCCAAGACCGCTGGGATGGTTTTCCCTTTTGATTCGATGATGCTGCCACTGGCCATTCCCCTGTCGGCCGTTACTAATTAGGGATGTAGTCTTCGTGCCAGCAAACGCCCAGTCGTTCGAAGAGCGAAAGAAAATAAGGGGGCAAAAATAGAGACAGACGGAGAATAGGAGGCCCCGAACATGACATAAAGCGCAGTAATGACAATTTATTCACATCCACATACACTGGCGATAAAATAACTCCCGAATCTTCTTTCGACCTGCCTCTATAACGAAAACACACAATCCATTTTTCTGCCAGTTCCTCTAAGATACAATACTATCCTATTGACATTCGGTAACGTTAACGCTCGCTTCCTATTTAAGGATCTGGCGGCTCGACTTCACCAACTTAACCTTATATTTAATAGTGTATATAACTAATTAATTGTAGCATTACTGAATAAATTAAGCGGGACAATTACTAGAACCGATCCATACGGAGCCATCTCATTTTTGTTCGGTACTCTATACCAGAAAATCAATAGGAATTATAGCGTTAATCATCAAGTGAAAGAACAAATAAATATAACTCGTGTTTTCTTCACCGACCAATCAATGCATTTCGTACTTTTTTCTCAATATTTAAATCTCGAGACAAACATAAACTGCAATAAGCATAAAAGTAAATATTAGGAAAAAATATAATTTGCGATTTTCGTGACGTATATAAGCTTTGAAATTTACGATATTTTTCAAAGAAATAATTATATTATTACTAAATAATTCTGATACTTTTACTCGATAAACAATACGAAAATTCATTGTTATTTATTAAAAACTTGTTTCTAGTAATGGAAAGTTTAAAGAATCTTGTAAAGGTAATTCCAGTCACAATTTATAATTAAAGTAAATTATAACTTTTGTAAAACTTAAATAATACAAAAATTGCCTAAACCCAAGAATTAATTGATATGCAAATACATTTTTTTAATAATTGAATCCACCTAAATTCTCTATCTCTTACATAGATTAGGGTGTTTATTTTTTTAACACGTACACAAAAATAAAAATAACTTAAATAGATAATATTCATTATAAACAGCTGATAAAGGTTGTAAATTACATTCCCTATTTTATTATTATTTTTTAACTAAATGTATACATAGATAGCAGTTGTTTTAAGTGCTAAAGATAAAAATCTGGTTAAAAGCATCTATTTATGTAATTGAACTCACCCTAAATTATCTCTATCTTTTCAAAAAGGTGTTTTCTTTTAATATTGTAGGTGATAGCATGAATTATAGGACCCACTCTGAATTAGAAGAATATGTGGGATATTCATTATAAAATATTAGATATACACCCTAATTATCTGGATATAGAGAGATATGATTTAATATTTAAAATGATAATCTACACACTTTTATAATTAAAATCACATTAAATTGGCTGAAAAACTTGAAGAATAGGGTAAAACGGTTTTTGCTTTTTTAATGAAGGAAAATAACCTGCACTGATTAGTAAATAGTTCTAGATATTTATATAGTTTAAAAGAGGGAATAATTGTTAAAAATTTATTTATTCTAAATATCCACATACAATAGTATATAAATTTAATAGTTATTTTTATAAGCGAAAGCTTGATATTTAATATAAAACTATTCAAATGTCACTATACAGAGCTTTACTTATTTATTTATTTACTGTTATAATGACGAAATAATTTTATTGTGTTAAGAATTAATGGTTATACGAATTTACAACTGGCTATTTATTATATTTAATACTCAATACGGAAGGTCGTATTAAACACGTATTTTTACAAGCGAAATAATCCCAATTATATTTTATCTTTGAAGTAATTAGAAATTGTTGTTGAAAGGAGAAAACACATAGAATCTTTATCATAAACAAACGATGCGTATTCTAAACTGTGTTCCCTTTCTATGTGTATGCAGAGATAGTAGAGGTACTTTTTTTAATGTCGGCGATAGAAACTCGATTATAAGCACACATTACATCATTCAAAACACCATAAAACAGATGTGGAAACTTTCCACAACCACCGCAGGGGAGAAATGCACTAACACAGGTAAGCATTTGATGAGAGTTCGATAATTATCGCAATAAAAATAACCTTTAAAACGTTATAAATTTAATTAATATCTACGAGTAAAAATTCATAAGAGAAGGAAAAATTTCAATTATAATAATTTAATTTAAACTGGAAAGATCGATTTTAAAGGGTGATTAGCGCTGGAAGAGCCCCGAAAAAGGTAAATAAACCGAACCGATTTAGATTTTAATGAATAAGAATGAACAAATTTCTTAAATAGGTCTAGGTCTAAATATATTAAGTAATG